ATTTTCAGAATTTGCTGCGGGCCAATAATACTTTGACACCCCTTCTCTATCTAAAGTTCTTGATGATTTTGGGCTAAAAAACAAATATGATGTAGATCTAATTAAATAAATAAATTGCTTTGCTTTTGGATTTGAAGGAAAATTATGTTGACAGCTGCATTATCTATAATGCTCTAACTTCAAGCATTTTGTCAAGTGAACCACTGTCAGCAAGCAACTCTTCTTTGCTAGAAATAGAAAAAACAGGAGACTTATTCACATCCGCATTCAAATCACCATCTCAAAAATAAACTAAGATTTCAAATCATTTTATGCCAAAAATTCCTTTTACAACTTGAATTTCTCAATCAATCAATTACTAATTATTATAATCTAGTAAAGAATGTTTCGTAACATAAAACATACAAACAAACATTCACTCTAACTTGAAATAGACTCAAACAAACGTTGCCATCAGAATTTGAAGTCAGTCAAAGTTTCATCACAGTCAAACATTTAGAGTCGGTCGTCATTTTGCTTAAATTGTCTTAAATTGAAATGACCAAATTTACTGAAGCTTCAAATAGTTGAAATTTCCACTTATCAACATATATTAATGTTTGAATTCAACTCTAATGAGTTGAATTAGAGTTGTTTTAAGGTTTAGCTATATGTCCACATACAGAACAGATCTCAACATAAATTAGAATTCCAGCAACTAATTTCATTGATTGTGCTTCATTGATTAAAAAAAATATTTTTGTTATAACTAATAGTTCCAGGACAACAAAAGATCTTTTAACCTCTCTAAATTAATATTGATCACAGCTGTATTTTATAGAAAATGTCCTTCTGTTCAAATTAAATGCAACCAAATATTATATGATATAACCAAATATTATAAACACTGCAGTATCAAGGATTTAATTCTTAACAAAAAAAAAAAAAAAAAAATATATATATATATATATATATATATATATAATATATATATATATATATATATATATATATATATATATATATATATATATATATATATATTGAAGGAAAAGAAGGAAAGAAAAGAAGAATAAAAAAAATCTTTAAAAATGTTTGGAGTCAAGGGACACTGGAATTTTAAATAAGGCTACTTTTTAATTCTCATTGATAACATTATATTTACTGTCTGTGTCTACAACAGTTCAGCTTTTAATTTTTATTCATTCTAAAACTTTTATTTCAAAACCACAGTTTTCTTAAAATGTTCTTTTAACATTTACTCATGATAGTTCAATGGCGTAGTTTTATTAGTTCGTTGCAGAACTTCAGTGATTGCAGTTTCCCTCCACGGTTTCTCAATCTATGGCTCCCGGGCCCCTGAAGGATTGTTAATATTGGTCCTGCTGTACAGGACAGAGAAAACAGGAGCACAAAACTCAATTGAAGTCATTCATTTTGCACTAAAGAATTTCTAAATGTCAACAGGGTTAGTAGCAAGCAGTTTTTGTTGCAGTGGCTGTGTGTGTGTGTGTGTGTGTGTGTGTGTGTGTGTGTGTGTGTGTGTGTGTGTGTGTGTGTGTGTGTGTGTGTGTGTGTGTGTGTGTGTGTGTGTCACAGCTGTGTGTGTGTGTGTCACTTATCTTGAACGTCTCTTTTCTGCTCATTTCCTCCTCTCTGTGTCGGCGTCACTACAGCAAAATCCTTCCCCGTCTCTTTCCTCTGTCTCCCTGTCAGTCCAACTGGTTCTGGTGTTGGATCTTTGGGTTGTCCAGATCATCCCTGAGTCAATGTCCATTTTGTCCACAGATGAAACACTCATCAAACAGTTCAACTCTTCTTCTCTCACAGCTCTGAAACACATTTATCTTTTCCTTCTCCATGCTGTCACTGTCCAAATGTCCAACAGGAGTCTGACAGTTGTCCCCTGAATGTTCCATCAGTTTTCTGGCAAAAAAATTAGGTCATCAGACTCTCCAGTGCCTGGAGGTGATGGAGATCTTCTTTGTCTTCTTGATTCTCTGGATTCTCTCCATCACTTTCATTGTCTGGTTTTGTAGGAGAGACATAATCTGGTCCATGGGAGGACAGGTTTGAGGAGTCAAGGTCAGAGGTCAGACGCACTGCAGCGAGGCTCGGATAGAGGGGAAGAGAAGCAAACAGAAATCGATTGGGGCTTGTCTTGTCGATTTTCTTGTTTTTCTATACAAATCTATGTATGAATCTTATGTTATCCTCTTGCATGATCATATAGTCATTTATTATCTATCCATCATTATAACTCTTGTTTGTGGAACGGTTTGTCAGAGGAACCTGAGGCTTTTCCCTGATCCCTTTAAGATGTGACATCATTTGTTTATTCAAATACACACAAAAGAAAATGTTTAAAGATATTTAAGGTTTATAATTTAACCACCTAAGATTTATGTTCAAGATTTTATTCTGTACTTATTTCTCTCTGCTTCTAATTCACTTTGCAGAGAAAAATTACACCATTTAAAGTCATTCCACCTTCATTCACACCAAGCACACTCTATTTTTTTTCAATATTTTATTATCATATAGTCAAACAATTCACCCTCTTTAGACTGCAAACGTCTTCACAGACTCCAACAAATCAGCGTTGTGGTTGCTCTGCCTCTTAGTCCCATTCATAGGGGCCTTTATTTCCAATAAAAGTCTTTGGGATTCTCTAAAGGTTTAGTTCCCTTAAATTAGAAGACCAAAACTCAAATTGAGAGCAAGAATACACTACACTGGATGAAAATCAAAATCTGCTCAAACAAACTCAGAGTTACATAGTTGCTTTATTCACCTCTGTCTCAGCTAACAGAGGCAGAGATTTAATCTTCAAGGACCAAACAAAGAAAAACAAACAGACGGAACAGTTCAACCTCATACGCTCATTCACTATCATGTCTACGGGATGCAAAAACTAAACACTATCTTCGTGTGGGGAAGGCCACGGGAAAAACAGCAAGTTCCCAGACGAACAGTCTGGGAAACTTCAGCAAACACATCTTGTTCACCCCTCTGCTGCTGCACCGAAAACATCTCGACTGTGATACAATTACATGTATGTGATACATGAAAGACCACTATATGAGCAAATAAAACATTTATTCACACTCGTCATTGCCACACCAGAGGCGTTTTTATTATTAAATTTTCAAATCCAGTCAACGTCTCAAAGCCTGCTGCATGTAGGTCCATCACAAATACATCGTGACAGCTACAGGGTTGGTGTGAACATTTTCTGCAAGTTTCAAGACCCTTAATAGTTCTAACATATCATATCTAAACACCATCCATACAGATAAAACACAAAGAGATCATCTGAGATCCAAACAGAAAAGTAGAGCCGCCTTCTGGGGGTTGTTCTGCTGTTCTTCTACCAGGGAGTGCTAATAGGCTGCTGTCTGTTTGGAGGGCAGTTCCCTCTCACTGGCAAGGAATTTGCTTCATCAATTCAAGCATAAAAGGAGTAGGTGGCCAGTTCTCCAGCGCCTGAGTGTTTTGCTTGTTGTGTTATTCTGTGACCCCCTGAGTTTTTTTTTTCCATTGTTTTTTCAATCTGAACTTACCTTTGACCTCCTTTCAGGTTTCCTTTCGTGGCGCCTTGGAAGTTATCTATTGTGTTGCCTGAGTCTTTCATTTCCACAACCAAAGAACTTTTCAAGATTCTCTGCGTTTTTCAATCCATGACTGGGAAAAATCTGCTCCTCTTTCCACAATCTGCTCTGTTTCTTGTCCACCCTCCAATGTTACTTTCTTCGGCAGAGTTCAGCAACTTTTGCCTGTCCTCTGATCATCTGTGCCTGGTCCGGTCCCCTTGTCCCTCACAAGCAACCCAAACTCCAGTGACCTAACCTCTCCTGCCTGACAGATTAACATTAACCCAATCAGTAGGCCTTATCCAGTCATCATCTCTCGAGTCTTAGTTACTTTAAGGATAACCAGAGTAACTAGTTAAAGTAACAGTCATCTTATTTCTCATTTTTCCTTCCCTCTGAGTGCCAATGATCCCGATCCATTGATTGATTCAATCACTCTGATTGAGTGAATCACACACTTCACTCATTGATCTGTTCAAAAATAAACTTTATTTATCTTATATTTCAGTCTCTTGAATTTGTTCTGTATGTGAATGAAATGAATTGCTGCCATTATGACAGTTATGACCCATATCAGAGCTGATCAGAACTGCCAGACTCACCTCTTATGCAGCTGGATGTCTGAATCTTTTCTATTTTTTTTGTCATTTGTATTTATTTATGAACTGATTTATTATTTCATGTCCTTTTAAGTACGGCAGGTTGTGCTCTCCATGCAGCGAGATTTTTCAGTTTCACAACAAAATCAGACTACAACCACACTGGTGGCACGAAGTTGCCCCAGCCACACAGGACGCTGCTGTCATTGCCATCAATGTGCATGTGGAAATGTGTGTCCCTCTTCCCATCCATCCATCTAGTCAGCCCAGTGGTCCAGCTCCTCTGTTCCTTTTAGGGAATTAAAAGTGGAAAACTTGTGAAATATATAAAGACACGCAGGACTTTTATTTGTCACAGCTCCATCTTGCCAACCATTCTGGGAAGAGATTTCTTTTTCGCACATTTGCATTCATGTGACAAATTCTACAGTTACAATAGATCTTCCAAGATCTATTGATCTCACAAAATACCAGAAATCTGCCTTTTAATGGTTACAAAACTTTTTTTTTATAGGACTTCATTTCTGTTGGTATATATTTGGCTATTTTAACCAATGGCACTCTTCCTTGTAATTTCTCTTAGGAAATTGAAATTTGAGAATGTGGTTGATCAGTTAAATAGTATTGAGGGGAAAAAGAAAATATTTCGTTTTAAAAAAAATACTGGGATCATTGTGAGAATTAGAGGTTTAGATATTATGATCCAATAGATGGCAGTAGTGCAACAGTAATGGATGCAAGCTGCCGTTAAAATCTAAAGAAGAAGAAGAAATTTTTTTTTTTTTTGCTACGTCGCGAGATAATTACGTCATGCAGTACGCGACAGGAATCCATGTTCACCACGCTGGGAGTGTGGAGTCTAGCGGGAGTGACTTCGTGCTTACTTTGAACGATGAAAGAAAAGAAACAGAATCCCAGTAGAAAGAAACCAAAAGCCGCTCACAGAAGAGGGAGCGCGGATCCAGTAAAATGCTTCGAGAAGTGGAAGAACAAGTACATGAAGGGGAGAGACCGTTTGAAACAAAGGAGAACGCAGAGGAGAAAACCCGAATGGCAACTAGAGAGGGAGTACATCAAAAGTCTGGTGAGCAGATATGGTGACATCAACACGACGGATGTTTGTAAGTTTTCGGACTTTCCGATCTCGAAGAAGACCCTGCTGGGTCTCCAGGAGGCTCAGTATCGTCAGCCCACAGAAATCCAGAAACAGACGATCGGCCCCGCTCTGCGTGGCAGGGATGTCCTTGGTGCTGCGAAGACTGGTTCCGGAAAAACTTTAGCCTTCCTCGTTCCGGTGCTTGAGTGTCTGTATCGTCAGCAGTGGAGCTCAATGGACGGTCTCGGTGTCCTCATCATATCACCAACCAGAGAACTCGCCTATCAAACCTTCGAAGTTCTCCGCAAAGTAGGCAAAAATCATGACTTTTCCGCAGGGCTCGTCATCGGGGGTAAGGACCTTAAGAGCGAGTCAGAGCGGATATCCCGCACCAACATAGTGATATGCACCCCGGGGCGGCTGCTGCAACACATGGACGAGACAGCCTCCTTCTATGCTAGCAGCTTGCACATGCTTGTCCTCGACGAGGCGGACCGCATCCTAGACATGGGCTTTGCAGACACGCTCAATGCCATAGTGGATAACCTACCCAAGTCACGACAGACCCTGCTGTTTTCCGCCACACAGACCAGGAGTGTGAAAGATCTGGCCCGTCTGAGTCTCAAGGATCCAGAGTTTGTGTGGGTTCATGAGAAAGCCAAGTTCAGCACACCGGCCACCTTGGAGCAGAGCTACGTGGTGTGTGAGTTGCACCACAAAGTGAACATGCTCTATTCCTTTGTTAGAAGCCACCTGAAGAAGAAGATTATTGTGTTCTTTGCCTGCTGCAAAGAGGTTCAGTATCTGTTTCGTGCCTTCTGTCGTCTAAGACCTGGGATTCCCATCCTGGCGCTGCATGGGAAGCAGCAGCAAATAAAGAGGGTGGAAGTCTACAACAATTTTGTCAAGAAGCAGAGTGCTGTCCTGTTTGCCACTGATATTGCTGCGAGAGGCCTGGACTTCCCTGCTGTCCATTGGGTGCTGCAGTTTGACTGTCCAGAGGACGCAGACACCTACATCCACAGGGTAGGCCGCACTGCTAGGTACAAGGAGGGTGGAGAAGCTCTGCTGCTCTTGCTCCCCTCTGAAGAGAAAGCCATGCTGGCCCAGCTTCAGGAGAAGAAGGTTCCCATCAATCAGATCCAAGTGAGACACCCTGCATCCACACTCCAGACAAAGTCTGACTCACAGTTTACATTCAACATTATATTTTGCTCATACCAAGATGAATTGGGTAAAAGATTTCCATGAAAATGACTTCAGCCATACTGACCATTTATGGCTGAAGTTGTAATCGAGGGTGAGGACCTAAGTCAAGTCCATGCTTAGAAATAAACCATGTTGAATGAGACAATATAATTTCCAATAAGTTAAATGGTTACATATTCTCTGAGGAGCTTGTTAATGGCAAGGGTTTCTCTGCAATGTGTTGGGGGTTTATGGGTATTTTTTATTTAAAGGGTTAAACATTTATTTCAAAAGACTTGTATACATATATATATATGTATATATGTGTGTGTGTGTATATATATATATATATATATATATATATATATATATATATATATATATATATATATATATATATATGTATATATGTGTGTGTGTATATATATATATATATATATATTATATATATATATATATATATATACACACACATATATACATATATATATATGTATATATGTGTGTGTGTTTTTATATATATATATATATATATATATATATATATATATATATATATATATATATATATTATGCATATATTATTTAATTCAAACCCTGGGAGTAGTTTAATTTTCACATGAATTTTTGTCAAATTTATGTTGAGATGTATTTGACAAATTGACATTATAAAAGAGCCCAAATATAAACAAAATATTTTTTTAAAATACCATTTTACCAAATTTTTTTGTCACTTATGTTTTCTTCACACTAGTGTAGTAGGCTGTAACTGAGTCTGGTTTAAAAACCTAGGCTGGGTTAGGTACCAAATACAACACTGACACTCTGAGGTTTTGAACATTTACAAGTGTAAGAAGCAGAGTTTGATATGAGGTAATTTTGTTCTAATTTGTCCATTCTAAAAGTTCTTAGATTTTAAGTAGAGCTGTTTTAACCTGACAGAAAATATTAAACAATTTTATTTGGATCCATTAAAACTGCAGGATCTGTTTTCATAATTTGTAAACTGTTTTCACTCAGTAGAATTACTTAAAATTAAAACAACTTTGTTTTTCTAATGTTCTTGAAGCTGTAAATTAGAGGAGTGTCCAAACCCACAACTCAAAAGAATCTGTGTGTTGATTTCAGGTGAATCCAGAAAAAGTGCACTCTGTGCAGCAGAAGCTGGAGGCCTTCCTGGCTCAGGAGATGGAGCAGAAAGAAAGAGCCCAGAGATGTTTTGTTTCGTATCTGCGCTCAGTCTATCTAATGAAAAACAAACAAGTCTTTGACATCTTTGAGCTGCCGATTAGGCAGTATGCTCTATCTCTGGGCCTTGCTGTTTGCCCTAGGGTGCGCTTCCTCAGTAAAGCCCATGCACAGAAAGCAGAGAATGAGGATGAGGAGGAATCTGATGAAGAGGAAGAACTCCAGAGCTTTAAGGTTCAGCTGAGTATGAAGGTGCCCTGTGAAGTTGTTGAACACGACACAGAAGAAAATGTGGATGAGTCCTCAAAAGCACTTCATGGTGACATTAGTGAAGATGAAGATGATATTCGGGACTTAGAACTGCTGACTGTCAAAAGAAGGGATGTCTTTGAGCTGTCGGAGCCAGAGTGTGTGGAGGACACTTCCCAAGGCCCAAATAACACCAGAAAGAAAACAAAGTTCAAAAAGACCAAAAAGCTCTTAAACAGAAACTTCCAAATCAATACCAAAATTACTTTTAATGAAGAAGGAGAAGCTGTGCAGCTTTGGCCCCCAGTGCAGCAAACGGTAACTGCTGAGGATGAGGAAGACGATGTTTTAGGCATCAATGTGGCAAAGGCCAGAGACAGGCTTAGACATGAAGACCAGGAGTTTGACAAGCAAGAGTACAGACGCAAGGTTCAAGCTGTACACAGAAATAAGAGGCTCAAGGCCAAAGAGACCAGGAGGGAGGCAAGTAAGCGGCAACGAAGGTCTGATGAGGAAAATCTAGCATACTTGGCCTGTCACAGTGAGGGTGAGTTTGACTCCAGCATCTTGCCAGACCCTGATCAGTTGCACTCATCAGAAGAAGAGGAGGAGGATTATGCTAAACAACACAGCTGCAAGGACAAGCCTTTAGCAATGACAAGAAAGAAAGGAAAGCAGCTGAATGATGAGCATATTGGCCTGGACACTGGTCTTTCACTGGCTGAAGATGAGGAGCTGGTTTTACATCTGCTGCGTGAACCAAAGTAGAGTCTGACTACCAGGGACTGAAATTCAAACTGAAAACACACCGACTGAATTCAGTTCTGGTCTTAAATATCGTATGAAAATATCAAATAAAAGGGCCAGATCAATGTCTGTTTGTATTTCTGTTAGTCAGACCTTTGGTTAAGCTGTTCAAACTACAGATCATCAGGCTTTCAAGTTTGTCTGATTTATGCCCGACTCACAAAAAGGTCACCTACAGATTTGGTTTATAAATGTTTTTCTCATATATGTGTCATGTGATAAAGTCACAATATTCCTGGTTTTTCCATTTATTCTTGATTCCTGGCTAATTTTTATTGCTGGTTGTTGAATCCTGGTTTTGTTGTTTAAAATCAATAAATATAGATACGAGTCATAACTACTGAGTTTGTGATTATATCTTCAGTGTAATTTTCCCATCTCTGCTGGTAGTTTTTGGACATTAGGCAAGAAACTACTGAAGTGTCCCTGTTTTTAGATTAGAAGTTTCAAGTCACACCAACCTACGTTGTCAGCTTTGTTACTCTGGCCTGTAGCAGAGATTATTTCATACCTTGATTGTTTAAGTTTAGTTTTACATGATGAACTAGAACTTTAGGGAACAGAGCTCCAGTTTATGCCTGGATAGCTGCCATTGATCAAAAGACTGCTTCTTTTGATTAGTGTTGGAGAAATTGTGATATTATTAATCAATTATTTGTTATTCTCATTGATCTTTATAATGTATCTTTAATTGATGCTTTCCTTAAAGTTAATCTCATTATAGAATTAAGAATGTTTCTTGTATTGTTGATTTACTCTGATTCCTTTCTCAGAAGGCCTCACTGACAGAGAGCAGAAACAAAATCTTCCTGCAGGTTTACCTCTTGGTGAAGAGCTCTGCTTCGGTTGAGTTGCTGGCCTCCAATAAAACCATCATTGTTAAGATCACTACATATTTTATTAATCTTTGTGCCTGGAAGGACATTATCTAGTACAGAATGATTGTGTGTTAGTTAGTGAATAACATTTGACGCTGTAGCTGTTTGCCCCCTCCCTTTAGAGCTACAGCGTCCTTGTGATTAGGGATCCTAGGAACAATAAAATAGAGGAGCAGACAAAATGTGCTTCAGAGCGGTAGGAGATTGTAACTGAAGCACATCTCTGTCCGTTCTCCTCGCGAGTAAAAAAGAATCTAACTCTTTTGTCTTTTCTGTCTTTGTTAATGTATGTTTAACAGGTGTTAACCCTAACATTTTTGGTCCTTCGAGCCGGATGTCATATACTGGAAAGATTCCGGCAGGTGTGGCGGACCCCAGTAAGACCGTGCGCACGGCAAGAGAACCTGTTAAAGGACTGGGCTCGGCCTGCCTGCTGGGATCTGAAGGTTGACGACACTCCAGGGAAAGACAAGAGAGGGTGAGTGATTCTTCTTTAAAAAGTGGCGAATGACGTTTTAGAGAGTAAGTCATTCTTCTGTGTGAGAGAAGAGTGACTTCTTCTTTGACTGAAAGTTGTTGCGCGCACAAGTGAAAACCCTGTCAATTCTAGACTCTAACAGGTAAAAGTAATGCACAAAATCCGTGGATAGGCTAACGGAGCCTGGTGCTTCAAGGCTGGAGGCCTTGTCCTGTTCTGGGGAACCAACAATTGTACTATTGTGGGCAATGATAGCAGCCCAACTAATACTAGAAATGTTCTGGGTAATAGCAGCTCAAATAACTAATACCAGCACTGTTCTGGGTAATAACAGCAACTCAAATAACAATTGTACTATTGTGGGTAGTAACAGTAGCCCAACAAAATACCTGCACTGTTTTGGGCAGTAACAGCAGCCCAATTACTAATTGTACTATTGTGAGCAGTAACAGTAGCTCAACTAGTACCTGCAGGCTAAACGGATTGCGGAGTCCGGCGAAAACAGGCGCTTAAGTTCCGTATCAGTATGTAAGAGATAAAAATTAAAAATGAAAGACAAAAAAAAAAAAATAAATAAAATAAACTAGAAATAAGGGTTGGTAAACCTTACCTCGCTGGAGGTCTTGTAAAACCCTACTGGGACGAGGACTTGCAAACCTCACCTGGTTCGGGTTTTGCAACCTCACGTGGTTTGAGATCTTACGAACCCCACCTGTTGTGGGAACGGGGCCCGACGAATACCCGTGGTTAAACGGACGGCGATAACAGGCGCTTCAAATCCGTGAAACAAAAAAAAGTATGTGTATGTGAGCGTGATTGGAGGTATAAATACCACTTGGTATTTTATCTCATGTAAAACAGTAGGATTGTGAGCAGCAAACCTCTTGTGGATGCACAGGCAAGAACTCTCCACTCGAAAGAGTTGAAGTGAGAGTTACCACAACAGGTCTTTTCAATTGCTGGCCTACTGAATCAGATCTCCAGTTTCTAGGACTCCCTAGGAGTCGGCAAAACTGGTCCAAATTTTTACAAAAAAAATGGGGAAATGGATAAGTAAAACTAAGCCAACAGACAGTCTAAAATCAAACGACTGGAAAGTTATTAAAGATCAGGATAAAATAAAAAAAAAAAAAAAATTCAAATAAAAATTGTACGAGGAAGGGTATGATGATGTACAATTTTGGTTAGAAGTAGCGCAAAAAGGAGATAGTGGGGAGAAAGAAATTACAAAAGAAAAGGAAAAGGTTCCAGGAGCCTTTTTCCAGGGTGAGGAACAAATGTTCTATCAGGAGAGGAGAGGAAGAGAAGGCTTTAGGGGCAGAGGTCAGAACCTTAGAGGTTTAAAAGGGCGACGGGGGAGAGGAAACTACAGGCACAGTTACTCAGGGTGCTGGTGTTGCGGGCAGGAAGGACATTTAGCCAGAAATTGCCCAAGAAAAAGAAAACAAAAAAACACAGGACAGTCAGCATGATTAAGATCAGAGAAGTTGGGGAGTGAAGAGGTCCAGTTAAATCTTCAGGATTTACTTTCTATGGACAGCATAAGACCTGAAATAACTCTCCTAATAAATAGCAAACCTGTACCTCTACGGGTGCATGTAGAACAACATGTAGAGAAAACATTCTTGGGGTAAAATATTTGTGGTGAAAATGTCAAGATCAGCTACAGGAATAAATGAAGGGGACTTCTTTGTTGTCCAGGGACACAGGGAACTGTATTACTTTTATTCATTGGATGTGCCCAACAAACCCCACACAACACTGCACAAACACTTCTGGCAGAGGGCATAAAGCCATTTCTGCCCTACAGGATCAAAAGTCTCCTGATGATTTGCATGTCACACTTTGGATCAAAACAGTTCCTGGGCCTGATAGGAACTATGAAGCGAGACTCAACAAGGTCACCCCAGCCAAGATAACTGTGACCTATCTGTACACAGACACAAAACATGTGACTGATCCACACACATTGTTGAATTCTCTTAGATCAGATGCAAAAGTATTCACGGTTGTAGACATCAGTAAATGCCTTTTTCTCAATACCAGTAGAGAATGAGAGACAATATTGGTTTGCTTTTACTTTTGAAGGGAAAAGATACACGTACACCAGACTACTTCAAGGCTACTGTGAAAGCCCTACAATTCTCTTTCAAGTAATGAGTGCAAGTATGTCAACTTTTCAACCCCCAGGAGGGAGCCAAGTTTTGTTGTACATAGTTGATGTTTTATTTTCTCCAGACAGGGAAACCTGTAAGCAAAACACTTTAGCGCTTCTGCAACATTTAGCTAAAGAAGGTCATAAGGTTAACAAAATAAACTTTAACTGTGTAAATGAAAAGTAAAATATTTGGGTCATAATTTGAGTGAAGGAGGACGAACCTTAGCGGAGGATAGAAAAACGACAATTCTCCAAGCTCCCAAACCACAAACAAAAAAAACAGATGATGTCCTTTTTGGGTTGACTAACTATTGTCGAAACTGGGTGCCTAATTATGCAGAAATTGTGGCAGCTCTGAATAAATTAATGTATAAAAGATTTTAAAATGTCTTCTTCTTTGTTGTGGGCAGATGAAGCAGAAGAAGCACTTTGGAAACTAAACAGGCCCTCGTGTCAAGCGCTGCGTTAGCGTTACCAGATTATCAATAAAAAAAACCTTTTGTTCAGATGGTGGATTGTAAAGGTCATGTCATGACCTCGGTGCTAGTCTAACAGCATGGTGATAAAATGAGACCAATAGCATATTTTTCTTCAAAACTTGATAGTGTAGCGTGTGCCTTACCACATTGTGTGAGAGCTGTAGTTGCTGCTTCTATGGCAGTAGAAGTTAGAGCTCCTATAGTTCTTTTTCACCCATTAACATCAAAAGTAACACATGCAGAATTATTAAAAGAATTATTACAAGTCGTGCACCTACCAAAACAACTAGCAATCTGTAAATGTGCGGCGCACACTGCAGGGACAGATAAGGTGTCCCTAGGGAATGCTTTCGAAGACAAAATAATAATAAAAAAAAGCAGCTGAGGGAGAGATAAATAAAAGAAACTTTAAGAGACATGCAACAATTAAGTCCTCAAAATGAAAAGGATTTATGGACAAAAAATGTAGCAAAATTGGAAAATTATATGAAACTAAACCTATTTTACCAAGAAAAAAATCTGTATAAATGGGCTGCAATATTGAGCCATGGCGTTTCGCATGTCTCAACAGGGGGGATGTTAGGATACATCAACATTACACTACTTATGGATTTATTTCTTATTTAAAAATTTCTGTAGGACCTGTTTGATATGTGCAAAACATAACTCTCAGGGCAATCTAAGATCACTTAGAGGAAAGTTTCCTACTCTGCAATATCCATTTCAAGTAATGCACATGGACTTCATAGAATTGAATAAAAGTGAAGTATTGTTTAGAAATAATTGATGCTTTTCTAAATGGTTTGAACATTTCACTAAAACCCAGATGCAGCGGAAAAGCCAACTTGGATACATTTAACACACTGCAAAAGTAATTTAATTTCAAAAGTAATTGGGAAGCAAGCTCAGGACGCTCACCGACCTACAGGGCAAAGTCCAGGTTACAAAGGGGGTTAAACCAAATAGTTTTTCCGTCTCAAAACTGGTGAAGATTGTCCACAACCCTGTAGTGTCTTTAGGAGCAGAACGAACTTGCACATTAATGAAAATAACAAGTGAATATATCTTTTTGTTTTTATTTTGTGTTTTTCATCTGGGAACAATTCATGTCATAAATGAAAATGTATTTCTTGTAACACTGTTTACAGAATGAGGATGAGTATTCAGGTATGTTTTCCACCTAGTTCTGTTATCATTGTTTTAGTCTGCTGGGCAAGCATGACGTCGGCAAACTACAGAGATTAAACTTGATATATGACAAATGATGTTTTTAACATCTGACTGTTCTCTCTGTGAACAATGAATTTAACCCTGTCTTTCGTGCAGATGTCTGGTGGTGGTGCA